CCATGCTGACAATTCGACAAAATATTGTTTTCACTAAGAAATTTCATATATGAATCAGCAACATTTTAAAATGGCTTCTAATCGTACAGTTCAACTGCTGATAGTCAAATCAGCTAAACTAATAATGGTGCAGCTAACAACCGAACAACGAGTTTTTATTGTCGTGCATGATAACTTGAATGCTAACTGTCTACCTTGTAAAATAAGTTGTAAATAACATTTTACTCGTTAAATACTTTCAATTCAGCTTGTTGGTTTACCCACCCGACTTTGTTTACCGACGATTGTGCCGCTAGAATATGATTACAAGCTTTCTCGCATTCCAGGGGCCAAACGTCTTTTGTGTTGTAGAACAAAGAGGATATTCATGAATATTAAGTGGTTGCGTTTTTTTTTATACACCCTGTATATAATAGGTGCCAATGATTGAATTGAGGATTTAATGAAATAAGCGGGAATACCATCAAGATCGGTGGCTTTGTTTGGGTCTAGTGAGGCAGCAATGTTTTTCATGTCATCGATTGTCATCGATGGAATTGAAAACTTTCTGTGTGTGATTTGTTTGGAATCGAAGATTAGTAAAAATTGGGTTGTTTTGAAGACTGTCAGCAATGAAAGAGAAATATTCATTAAAGAGATCGGCAACTTCAGTAGGATCACTGATCTTCTTGCCGTCGATGTTAAGAGTTATTTAGATGCATTGTCATTGGTAGGCAAGACATCTTTTATATTTTCCATAAGTGTTGTGGGTTATGTATGAGAACAGTTAGACGATTTTTATAGTAGTCTTCTTTTGATTTTTTAATGATATGAACGATTCTATTTCTCCATTTTTTGTAAGCATTCCAATCATTGGAATTTTTCTTTTTAGGAATTGTTTTATGAAATAGTCTCTTTGGCGACCAGAGCTTCGTATTTCATACTTCAAACACCCAGTTAGTTTGTTTCTTCTGACCCTACGCTTAATCAAAGGTGCATGTCTGTTCTAAACTTTTATAAAGTGAGAATGCCAAAGGTCTAAGAGGTCGCTTGGGTCACCAAGAATTTCATAAACAATTGTGGGAATTACTTCAACTAAATCATTGCCAAAATCGCTCGGAATAAAATCCTTCTTCTTACGATAGCTAATAATCGTATGGAGGCTTTGTTTGGTCTTAATCTCAGAGTTAATTTTTCTTGAGATAAAAATTGGAAGATGGTCGCTTAATCCAATATTTAGCACCCCTGATTTGATGATCCTATCTTTCTGAGAGGTGTAGATAAGGTCTACCGGAGGCATAAGTTCGATCTTTTCTAATAAGGTTAAACTCTCCAATCGGCAATTCTGCACCAGACCAGCTAGCGTCTAAATGAGTTTCAGAGAAGCAGAATATGATATTGTTTTTATTGCGATCGAACCCTAATAGATTAAAAAACATGAGTCTGACTTTGGCCAATTTCTTTGTTATGGCCTGAGTGTTTAAGTGGAAAAAGTTAGGCCTTTCGTAGGAATTTGAGTAAAGGGATTGTCGGTTAATTCGATTTTTTGGCATGGGTTGGTTGGAATTCAAGCCGTTTAAAATATGTAATCTAGTATTACTAAAAGTGCTGAATATAGTTAATTAAGTTCCTCGCCATAAGGTCACTACCAGATGGATTAAGGTGAATACCATATCTATCCAGGCCTCTGTCATCAATGTTTTCTTGTTTTATTAGGTTTAGGTTTCTAGACCTTGAAGCAGGTTGTTCAGTTGAGTGACTTTGTCTTTAATACCAGGGCTATCAGTTCTAGTTATTACTTGGGAGAGCGAGATATCAGCCTTTGGGCAGAATTTGTAGTTTTCATCGCAGAATTTGGAGATGTTTGCAGCAAAAGCATTTACCTCACAACATTTCAAATTGTTGGTTCCTGTATGAATAATAATATTAGCTGGTTAAAGGCGTAGACTTGGTTTTGCGTACTCCATCATGTCAGTTACTGTCTCTCCCGGAAAAGTTCGAATGGTCACATTATTTGATTTGACCTTCTCAAGTTCCTCGTGTTGATACCTCTTGTCATAGAGTCACGCAGGAGGTTCGCGGGATTTGTGAGTATTCGTTCAATTATGTTGTTGGAATGGTTGCTGACATTATGGCTGATTTTGTTGAGTTCGGTTTAGTGAGGAGTGAGAGGTGTCGTAGTCGGGGCGTAAATAATATTGTTGTTGCTGCTGCCGCTGAGGTAGTTGTTGAGTTATCTGTGGCTGCGAAAATTGCTGCTGCTGGTCTTGTTGAAGCTGATTTTGCTGTATAAGATTACGCTGCTGGAATTGTTGTTGCTGTTACTGGGGTAGATGTTGAGTTTGTTGTGGCTGAGGAATTTGCTGCAGCTGATCTTGTTGTAGCATATTCTGATGTACGAGGTTACGCTGCTGGGGTTGTTGTTGCTGTTGGTGGGGTAGATGTTGAGTTTGCTGTGGCTGAGGAAGTGATTTTGCTGCCGATCTTTTTACAGCTGATTTTGCTGAGTGAGCTAGGTTACAATGCTGGAGTTGTTGCTTCTGTTGCTAAAGTAGATGTTGTTGACGATATTGTTGTTCCAGCTGATGGTGATACACTGTTATTTTCAAAGTGTTATTTTAATACCCTCTGAAACGGTTTTTAAGGGTATTAAAAATTTTGAACTACTTTAACCCCAATATTGAAGTTAAAAAAACACCTCGTTGGGATTAAATTAACACTATTTGAAGGATTAAATCTTGGGTGCGCGAATTCGAATAGTGACTTAGCGAAATGGGATTAAAATAACACCTTGAAAATAACAGTGTATAAGCCCCGTTTACACTACACTCGTGCCCATTTCATCGGCTAGGTGTATTATACCATGAGACACCAGTATGTTGATAGCATGTATTAGTATGTAAATGAGCTAGTTGTTGTTGCTGGAGTTGAATAGTATTTTAATTCTCTACATCTAGCAGTTTTACAACTGTTAGTATGCTGTTTCGTTCATTGTTAAGTTTTTTTATCTTTGTGTCCAGGTTGCATATTAAGGATGACTGATCGTTGATTTTATTCTTTAATCGTGAATTTTCTTCCTTGAGCGATAGATTTTCATTTAAAGTACGAGATGCTCTAATTTCGGTTGATTATTCCGTGACCGCAGTTCGCTCGTAAATATGTCAAAGTAGCCAACCGATTTCTCTACTGTAACTTCTAACTCACGAACATACTATAATAAATTATGACTAAGGGTGTTAGCTGTGCCGATTCCAGGTATATGAGTAATCATTTATTGAAATTGTATGTGTATGTCTGATTTGATTATCGTCCTTATTTACCTGCGTTGAAATATTTTCATTAAATGCTAAAATGTCCTGTATTTGATGTAGTCGTTGAGATGATAGACATACCTCGTGAATCATCGGAATTTCAAAATTCCTGGGTCGAACGAGTCAGTATATCGTCCTCAATAATATTCGCCATAGGATTTAAATGCATGTTCGTAAGTTTTTGGATTAAAGTATTCGCTAATGACTCACCTTTTTCGCTTTGGATTATAAGAGAGCCTGAGCTCGAGTTAGTATAAAATCTGATAGTAATCGAATCTGTGGCTTTGACGTCCATTGGGTGACATCCATTTCTCCTTTAGCTTAAGTATTTTCTTCACAAAGTCTATAAGATTTTCATGGCTTTCCTTCCATTTTAGCTTCCCTTTTTTGGTCAGTAGTTATATTATATTCACCATAATAGTCGTTTATTTGTAGCGTTATCAGATTACTTAGGCAATCATTTACCGAGTAACAATCGTTTACATCGGAGTTCATTTGGCACATGTTGCAATCCGCCATGTTGTTGGTGGTAATACCATACCATGATACCAACTTACCTTAAAGCAGTTGAGTTTACCTGTCCCAAAATGAAATGGCTACAAACTCATATACTGGTCCTTGACTACCTCTATTTTTCCATTATTTTTACATATCGCTAGAGGTTATGATTCTCTCAAAACACAAGCGTTATGCTTTTATTTGAAATAAACAAGCTGAAAATCGGCTACATTCCTTTGAATCAAAATCACTTCCGAATACTGCGCCATAATAGCTAAAGTGAATTTTGATAATCAACTACAGTCACGCATTGCGCGCGTGCTGCTAAATGGAGAAAGGTCTATTTTTAGGAGCGTTTTAGTTTAATTAACAAAGAAACAAATAATCTGCAATGTTTTACAAACAAAAGCTTCCAAGGGTATTGATATTGTAACTCAAAGCTGTTTGATACCGTCTGGCATTGCGCGCTTGAAAGCTAAAGAAAGGTCTATTGACAGGAAATTATCCACAAGGCGAAAAGCTTGCTTTTATTAACAACGTCGTAATTATTACTTAATTCGGAAACTATTTTGTAAATTAAGACATTTAACAATATAAAGATAGAAGAATTTATTTTTTTTAACAAACATATATACATTCAGCCGTATTCAGTCAACCGAAAAGTCGTTTAGACAACAAGTTCTGTTCTTTCGTCAAGAGGAAATCTATAGGTTATTATTTATATAATTCAAATTCACTTGTTGTAATGTATCGTACGCGTTAAAGAACCATTACATGAACTATACCAGGCATTCGAAAAATTTGTAGGTTTTTTGAAAAATTGTGGGAAAGAGTCTTCACGACGTCTTCAAGAGCTCTGCATGCAGTTTATACATTACACGTGTTGTGTGGCAACTGACCATGGGCAGATTTTCCTGCATGGGGTGTAAAAATTGGGCGTCTTTTGTTGAAGTTAACGTTTAAAAACACAACATTTTCAGAAGTTACCATTGTATTCATAAATTTGTAATTATATCTGTTTTCTCATTTATCTAAACTTCCCCCAAAACATGTATATAATTATTTTATGCTTTAAACTTCGATGATTGCCTCCTCCAGACTCTATATGGCACGGTGAAAGATTTCTTTTTAGCAGTCGTAAATGTTGTCTAAATTTGTTTCACTGCATCAGAAGCGACGCTCAATCCGAAACATTTCTCTAATTCATTATAGGACAAGTATCAGACAACAATGATCAAGCTTCTTTTCAGCATCGCAGTCGTGACCGGAATTGTCATCCAAAACGTGGAAGGTAAGTATGTAAATCGTATGGTGGTTTGCTGCTACTCGATGCATGCAATTTAACTTCATGTTTATAAAAGCAAGCGTGTTGCACTGGCTATACTATTATACCCAATTACCTATGTGTATGTTGCACTTGTCATACCATATACCTTTTACCCAAATAATTGGGTGAAGGCGAACACTTCTTAAACCACGCATTTTCGCTAATATGTATGTATGCGTACTCCAAAATTTCAAATGCTGACACTAACAGTAAATAATAGCTCTCGTTTATTTCAAGCACAAAAGCAGACTTTGACGAGGAAGCCGGGATAGATAGTTTAGGGTGATTAACAATCAGTTTAGAATTTTAGATTTTATCCTGTCTTTATCCCAACAAGAAATCGTCACATTCACGTTCTAGATTCAGCCCGGGAACAGTTAAGAGAAATATCCCCAATTAAGTATGCAAGTACATCGGTTCTCGGGAACTAAACCAACGCTAGTACCAATGTTAACTACAGAAGTGCATGACCAGAGCGAGCGTGATGTGTGTGATCACTATGTTGGTATAATACCTTTAATAATTAGAAAACTTTACTAACAATAGGGCGTTGGTACACATGCAGTGCCACTGGTGACCCACATTACGTGACATTTAATAAGAAGTGTTACGACTTTCAAGGAAAATGCCATTACATTTTGGCAAGAGATACTCAAAGGCGATTTACGGTAATTGCCAAAAATGAAATATGTGGACGCGGGTCAAAAGGTCCTTCATGCACAAGAAAGGCCATAGTGAGACTTAATCATTTCCAGATCGTGATCAACCGTGGGGGAAAAGTCGTTATTAATGGAATAGTCAGCGGGTTACCATACAACTCGAAAGGTAATATTAACCAAAATATTTCGTATAAGAAAGCATCGAAAAATCTAGCCCGTGTGTTGCTAGCTTAATTGAGCATTTCCACGAACAAAGCCTGCGATTTAAAAAGAAAAAGCCAGTAAAGCTAGTATGTAAGTCTTGGTGCAGCAAATGATGTATCCAGATCAATGCCTTCTGCCGTTATTTCTGTTCTGTCAGGGGCGGAACATGCAAGTTTTTGCGAACATTAATCACAATTTTATGGCGACGTCGTCTATTTAAACATCTAATCACGGGCTTTCGCACATGTCTTCAGATTTAAAGGGAATATACATAGTTCCTTCTTTAAAAATGTAGTTGTGCCACCAATTTTTAATATTGAAAATGACCCATTCCAATAATACCACAGGCGGGCTGTTCAAAATCCGGTAACCCTAACTCGGGGTTAAAATTTGATATGATTAAAATTAAATTAAAACTTTCCGCTTCATTTCCTAGTCTTTCCGCTGCAAAGTCAACTAGTCGTAGATTTCCGTAGACCTTCGTACACTGTCGTCACATCTTCGTATATTCGTAATGTCTTCTTTGAGCCGGAGTGTTTAAAAAATCGTGAAAATCAAATTATCTTTTTCGTGATTCGGTAAATCTTAAAAGATCGTGACAAGACTGCCTCCTTGCCTCCCTCCCCCCTCAACTAAGTTGCGGAAACACTTTTTGAAAACATCAGAAAGCAAGGGATGTTTTCAGTTTGAATCGTTCTTCTTCAGCTTATTTATTTATTTACCTATATTCACTTGTATGCAATACCCGAGAATTAAGGATTGCAGTACAACTTGAAACATCGTGACACGTCACCGAAATATTTTCGATGCAAGAATATTCTAGAGGTTTAAAGGGTCTTAATTTCGAGTGGTATTATACACACTTCAAATTCAAGCATAGAAAAGTTAGGGAAAAATTAGTCAACTATAAGTCCTATGGCAGGAATCGAACCATGCGCATGCGCCAGTGTATATATAAATATATATATATATATATATATATATATATATATATATATATATATATATATATATATATATATATATATATATATATATATATATATATATATATATATATATATATGCTTCAACTCGTCGGCAAACGATAACAAGGTTTTTTCGATTGCGACTGCTTCCTTGCAATGTCATAACTCTTCTCCTCCGCATTCCAATAATCGGACGTAGTTATGGTCTCGGCTAACAACTGGATCCTGATATATCTGTTGCGAGAGTGATATATCTGTTGCGAGAGAAACGGGTACATGGCGTTCGTTACTCCACGGGAGAGGATCGTCCCACGTCTCAAGAACTTACCAATGACGCAGCTCTTCTCGAAGGTTGTTATCAACCTTAACAGGGCGACAGCTACGCAGACCCCTAGCGATAGCATAATTCATTCTTCGAGTAAAAGTTGGGAACCTGGGACAGCTAGAGAGAAGGAGACACATTTTCCCACCAAGCATTGAAGGGCCCTAACGGACACACTTGATCGCCCCCAAAACTTCTCGCAATAACTGTAAAAATTGTTCTTTCTTAACTCGGGGCAGGTGAAATGTTTGCGCCCCTGAATCCGAGAGGAATCCCAAGTACGGGACTATTTTCATTGGGATTAGAATTGATTTTGATAGACCCAGAAAGTAAACCAAACGGATTAAATAATAGGCCACGATAAAGATAGCTGAATTGGCAACCGCCAAATGCCGCAGGTCAATAGTATGCAACTGAACATAAGCAGCACAGGAGAAGTCAATCTGCAATTCACCGTTATGACGATCATCAATATATAGAGAACAAGGTATGCCGACAGACCGGAAAAAGTTAGTAGCCAAAAAACCAGTTGTGTGATAAATGAGAGGCGATATTTCCAACCAAAGGGAAGGGTGTTGCATACGAAGTACCAACCACCCCACTGGATACCAAAGTAAGTACGAATTTCTTCCGTCAGCAAAATATGGTCATAGCCAGATTTATCATCTAGCACAGTCTGATAGTTTTCTTGGCCTATGTATCGAAGAAGATGAGTCACACTGTCTAACTTAAATGGAACATCCCGCATCCGTAAGTTCAAGAGGCGCGTGTCATGACATAATCTGGGTTTTGTGGGTTCGACTGTTAACGGCAAGGCCAAATGTGGTGCCGCGGAAAGAGTTTCACCAACTCGACCTCGAAGTGATATCGCGCCAGTTCGGAGTCGAACAGATTTTCGTAAATGAAATGCTCGAAAACTGCACGTTTGTGAAGGTGAAAACAAGTGAATTTAGACTTTCTATAATTTATCCTAATTTTCTATCGTGTTTTCAAGTAGTGCCCGAAGGGGGGCAACGAAACTGAACGATAATCGGCCACAGAATACGGCCTAAACCCATTCATAGCAAATGTATTACACCCTCGGACAGTCATTGTTCGGTGGCATCCAAACGAGCAACTGTTATAGGCGAAATAAAGAGAGCAGTCAAATGTTCTACCGATTGTGTTACCCAAAAACAATCATTAAAGCAAATAAAACAATTGTTTGTGCACAATGGTTACCCTAGCTGCCAAATTCGTTAAAGGAGTTATAAAACGCACTCGTGTTCCCGACAGACACCAGAGCGAAGATCAACAAGAGACTATTTACCTCAAACTCCCATGCATTTATCAACAAAGAATATAAACGACAGGCCTCAGGAGTGTTAAACCGATAACGTATTAAGAATGTTGAAATACACCTTGTGAATGGCAGATCATTATCGAAAGTGTTTGGGCCAATGAAGAATAAAAAAAACTGCCCACGTAACTGCGAAACATGTAAATCAGTTATCAAACTGAATCGCTGCTTGATGAAGAATGTCATTTACGAAATTAAGTGTGTGATATGTGGAACCATCAACATAGGGGAGACTAGCAAAACAAAAGGAACACGAATTAAATAGCATTTAACAATGGAGAAACAAACCCTGTTTAAATATTTATCATCACATAAGAATCATAAAGGAAATGATTATACAGGGACCGCGAAGGGGGTGGGGGGTGGCAGGCTTTAGCCCCCCCCCAATAATTTTCTAAATGCATGTGATTCCTTTATAGCGATTTTTATATGGCCATAATAATACGAATAAAAACTCCTTATAGTAAGTTGTGTAATCATAATTATGTGTTCACTATCCGCGTCGGTGAACAATGTTTTCATTGCAGTGTTTACAAGAAAAATATAAATATGGACCCCCCCCGATGGTTCACTCTTTCGGCTTCGCTAGCCCCCCCCCCCAAATCCAAAAACTGCTCCGCGGTCCCTGTTATATATATAAGATCACTTGGAGAATCTTGCATTCAAATAATTCAAATATTCGAAATGACGAAGAACGAAGATATACAGGGTGTATAAAAAAAATGTCCCAAAAGTAAAATTTTCGTTTTGTAGGCTATTTTGCAGAATTTGGCAAATTTTTGTGTTCCTTGAGATAGTTAAGACTTATCTGGTATACCTAGGCCAAGTTTGGTTTTTCATTAGCAAAATTATGCTACCGGTGGGGTGGTTCCTTTCCACTGATATTGAGGGGGCTTGCGCGCGAAAATTTGAAGCTGAAATTGAGATATTATTTAGCTGTTTAAAAGTAGAAAAGCTTTTTAATAAACTGTCAAAGTTTCAGGAAAAATAATGCATAATGGGAGCAACGCGCGACCTCTAAAAGTTACAAATATTTCATTGCGCGCAGTGGATTAAGTGCATCGTTGATTTTCGCGTGACCGATCTCGTACAAGGCGCAGTACTGTATATATATATATATATATATATATATATATATATATATATATATATATATATATATATATATATTATATATATAATATATTATATATATATATATGTATATATACACCCATTTGCAAAAACGTTGGCCGCAGATAGATAGATAGATAGATACTCGAAGTCTAATTAGAATTGCATATGATTACATTTGCATGGGATTTCAATCATAATATCACCGTTTACTATCATTTCATATAAGTAAATCACAAAATAAACTTTGGTATCTAAATCAATATTTATTCACCTCCTACGTTTCGGGGCATGCCCCTTCTTCAAGGATGAATATAGAAGTCAATGGCCTAATGTCCTTTATATACCTTTAGTAATTACCCTACATATTATTCAAAGTCTCTTACATTTAATCCCCGAGGTACAAACGAATCTAATTTGTATACCCAAAATGCCTCCCTTTGTGTTGGCTTATCAACATTGGTCTTATCAATAATGATAACCCTCACATCCCTTAAACCTTTATGCCCAGGGCCAAAAAAATGTGCATATAAGTGCTCCGCAGCCATTTTTCTGCCCCCTTGTTCGTACTTCCTCATAGAGCTTTTATGGTTATTAAACCTCTTCCTAAAAGATGTAATGGTACTCCCCACATAAATCTTAGAGCAACTGATACACCGTATCACATAAATTACGCCTTCTGAATCACAATCAAAAGAATAATTTATCCAATACTTATTAACCCCATATTCAAATTTCTGCGTTTCCTCTACATAACAACATATTTGGCATATAGATTTCCCACACTTATTCATCCCCTTATCTTTTCCTGTATCAATTTCTCGTTTTACTTTAGATCTTACTAAATTATCAGCTAAATTTCGCGGTCTTCTAAACGAAATCAAAGGCTTTTTATCATTAAACACTTCCTTCATCTCATCCGAAGCAAGCAGCACAGGCCATAAAGACTTAACCTTATCGCTAACTTTCGATAACGCCGGATGAAAATTCAAAACTAAAGGTATTACGTTTGAATCCACAACCTTTCCCTTATTTTGAAACAGCAAAACCCTTCTATCCTTACCCTTAACTTTTTCGCATTGCGAAGATACTCGTGTTTTTTCAAAACCTCTTTCATACAAATAACCTTTAAATTCCTCAACTCGCTGGTCAAATTTACCTTCCGAACTACAAATCCGTCTCAATCTAAGTGCCTGCCCATACGGAATAGCCTGCTTTACATGCTTCGGATGGCATGATCTAGAATCCAAATACTGGTGTGTATCTGTAGGCTTTGAATACACATCAGTAGAAATACCCCCTCCCACTTCCTTACTAATTGTAACATCAAGAAATGACACCTGATTTTCCGAGTAATCCCAAGTATAACTTATTTTCTCATGAAAAGAATTTATAAATTCCAAAAACTCTCGCAACTTTTCAATACCATGCAACCAAATAATTGATTGTGATTCAGAAGGCGTAATTTATGTAATACGGTGTATCAGTTGCTCTAAGATTTATGTGGGGAGTACCATTACATCTTTTAGGAAGAGGTTTAATAACCATAAAAGCTCTATGAGGAAGTACGAACAAGGGGGCAGAAAAATGGCTGCGGAGCACTTATATGCACATTTTTTTTGCCCTGGGCATAAAGGGATGTGAGGGTTATCATTATTGATAAGACCAATGTTGATAAGCCAACACAAAGGGAGGCATTTTGGGTATACAAATTAGATTCGTTTGTACCTCGGGGATTAAATGTAAGAGACTTTGAATAATAATTATGTAGGGTAATTACTAAATGTATACAAAGGACATTAGGCCATTGACTTCTATATTCATCCTTGAAGAAGGGGCATGCCCCGAAACGTAGGAGGTGAATAAATATTGATTTAGATACCAAAGTTTATTTTGTGATTTACTTATATATATATATATATATAAATATAAAATATAAAATATATATATATATATATATATATATATATATATACAAATATATATATTATAAAATATATAAAAATGTTGGCCGCAGATAGAAAGATAGATAGATAGATATAATTAGAATTGCATATGATTACATTTGCATGGGATTTAAATCAAATTACACAACATAAATATGCAATTCTAATTAGATTTCGGGTATCTATCTATATATCTATCTGCGGCAATAATATAAAATATTATTAGGGTTGAAAATATACGGCCTTTGCGAGTTGCTATAACTACAGTGCTTCCTCGCCCAAAAAATATTTCCATACTTCTTTTCTCAAATACCACGTACTCTCCAAACCTCTGAACCCACATAAATTTTCTAGCAATCATGTTACCATCCCTATGCTTGGTTATGCAAGGCTTAATTGCATGTGTTTAGATATATGCATATAAAATAACCGTAAAGATAGGAATATCAATTGCATGACAGGGATTGGTGATTGTTTTTTGCCGCAAGATGCCTGAGTAAAAATAATTTTTGGCCATTTGCAATCAATAATAATTACTTTTCCTTTCATGCATGACATTTCGTGCGATTGAATAAAGTAGTAAGGTGAAAATATCAATCACCCTGTGAGAACGTGCGCATCTGGATCAACAGTATAGTATGTCGTTGTCAAGTTTAGCTGTTCCCTTTAAAAATATGCATGCTTTAGGCAGCTGCAAGGCTCTTATATAAATCAATGGGGTTTTATATTCCGCGTGGTCGAGCATATTTTTTAAAAATATTCTCGTGTATGAAATCTTAGACATTATAGACTTATCAACTGCAAAATCATAGTCATGGCAAGCATGCATGGCGCTAGTTTAAAAATCGAATATAGCGTGGCGTATACAAAATTATTGAGGAATTATTACAATTTGCTATCTATGCAACCCCCATTTTGAGAAGTCATATTTGTCCAAAGTTTAGATTTATGGTTCTTATGTTTAATTTCCTAAATTGTGTGATAAATTGTATAGCTGTAAAATATTCTACCGGCATTACGTGGGCTGGGCCTTATTTCGTACACCTGAGTAATTATTACGAATTCTGGCTCTACGCTGAAAAGGGTAAATCTCGAATACCCCGAAATAACTTTGGAATAAGGATTTTTTCTATCACCTCATAGTGATATTCACTTTTTTAATTTGATAAAGCAGAATTGATAAATATCTTACAGCTTAAAATTCAATTTGGATGAATATGAAATGTTTTAATGTTTTAATGCGCAAATGTTTTATTTCACGGTGTGAAATGCTTGGTAACTCTGCCAGTTGAGGTGATCTCTTTGTGATTTAGGTTCCCTTCGTGGTTATTGTCTTTTCTGTGCCATCTAAGGATATGATTTCACTGGCTTGCTTCTCCAGTTTGTTCACCATCTCAAGTGCACTATCTGACACCACCGAAATTGGTAAAATTAAAAAATATTCAGCTAAAAAACTCAATACGTAGGCTTCAAACTTGGTGAGAAAAAAGATTCATTGATTCAAAATATGTTTTGCACAAAAGATTTAAAGCTTGCACACGGCAAAAACGAATTATCTGAATTGATAACCTTGTACATACTTTTAGCCTCAAAATAGCCATGTGTATGATGAGTTGCCAAGAGATTGCATAATGCGTATTTAGAAGAAAAACCGAACTTTTTAAAGTTATTCAATTGTTTTCTCTTTGATAGCGATACAGAAATGCACAATGTGAACCACTGATCAGATTTTTCGTAGAAACTTCATAAACACCAATTTCTGCGGTGTTACACCATCTCCAAGTCGTTTTAAAAGATCGAAATCCTGATACGGAGAGATGATTGGTGGGTTGTTGGTGTTTTCGTTTCACTTTACTGCATGTGGATACGAGAACATTTTGAGCTGTGGGTTGGATGTTTGTATCTTAGCTCTGCATCATAGGTTGGTATTATAGGTTGAATGGTTGTTGCTGGAACCTTTTCGCGGTAGGTTTAGGTGGAGGTATAGTGTTTGGCGTCCTTTTAGGTGCAAGGGGCAGATGTGAAGATACAATTGCAACTGGCTGTTCTGAATATCTTCAGGTTTTTCTGTGTATTCTGGCTGCAGATCTCGAGGGGTGGACGTTAGGATGTTGTAATTCATTCAGTTGTATTTACAGATTTATGGCCTATAACAGCGCTGGTTGTAATTGTAGTAGAGATATTGCCTTTTTTTTTCAGTACTCCTGCATTTCGCTGGAGTCTTGGCACGTTGCCATAGCTATGGACAGTCCAGGTGTATTGACTCTATAGTATACTTCAGAAAGGAACGAACATGGCAGGAAGGAATCCCTTTCATTTCAGGCATTATATCACTGACAATCTCAGTTGTATCATCGATTTGGAGCTGTTGTAGCCAATCAGCATCGTTTTATAAAATCGCATAAAAATACCAAAAATGCGAGATTTATCCATTCTGTTTTATCCAATGAAATTTTAATATCACTATGCGGTGATAAGCAACACATCAATCGAAAGATAATGACTTGAAATTTAATCCTCAAAGACAACTTCATTCTCAAACATGACTGAAACTACGTTACTATAAATCTAGGAAGCTAGGTTAATTAAAAGCTTTGCACCAATATAAAATTTAATTTTTTTTTACATTTAGGTGTGAACATCGTAAGATTCTCAAGAGGCGCTGCAATTACAGTTAATAGTTTGGGTTTGAAAGTGCAATATGATGGCGTATATAACCTTTATGTCCGAGTTTCAAGTGCATTTCGCGGAAAAACAGAGGGCCTTTGTGGAAGCACTGAAGGCAACCGTAACGTTCTTAAAAAACGTGACGGTAAAAAAACCCGAAATGTTCAGGAATTTGCTAACTCCTGGAGAACTGAAAGCTTGTGCGAGGCTCCGCCTCCTATGCGAAATCCTTGCGACAGCGCAAGCAAAGCAATAGTGCGAGAGGCAAAAAATAAATGTGCTTTACTGCGGCGGCATCCCTTTTCGGAATGCCATCACAAAGTAGATAATATCAATGGTTTTATTCACGATTGTGAGTATGATGTATGCGGTTGCAAGGAGCACCCTTCAGCATGCCTATGTGAAGAATACGCTGCCTACGCCACCTCTTGTCAGCTTGCAGGAGTCAACATCCAGTGGAGACATCTTCGTCATTTCCGTCATTGCAGTAAGTTCAGTTTTGTCATAGGCAACACAAAGTTCTTAATACGTACGTCGTGTAAAAATGTGACCATGTATCTTTTTTACCGGAAAAGTAGTCAAAAATTATTGCAAACACATTTTTTGTTGGTCTAAAACGAATTTCCCTCTTGTTTAGGCAGCAGGTATTGTTTGAAAGAAAGATGTCAAATTCCAAGTCATAAAAATAAGACGCTGTTAAATTATGCAATTTTCCTTGCAATTTGCAATGCAATTTTAATTTGTAGGCAGTTAGTATATCACATTTGATGCTAAGTTTTTGAAGACGCTGCCACGCTGCTCCGTGGTTAATCTGTATAGAATGTTCGAAATTCTAAGAAAACGTTAGCTGATCGTAAGAAATGTTCGTATTTGACAACTTTTGATGCCCCAAGAGTAGAATTACATTACAAGTTGCAAGGAAAGTTGCATAGTGTCACCTACCTTCTCATATTACCTTTTAAGCGCAAAATACGTCACGGCAATCGCTTTGAGTTTTGATAGGGCGGGGATATAGTTTTTTTTGTAAGAATCTGAAATAAAACTAATTTACTGAACTCATGAAAAACTAACTACTCACTAGTATAGGTATTCAATATCTGGAATTGGAAAATTAACAGTTATATTTTTACCACCTTTATGTTAATTTCAATGTGGCTTCTCGTCCGCATTCTAAATTGACCACTAGTGTGTAACTAATTTAGTTACACTAAGTTTTTTACCCTCCTTCGGCCATAATAAAAAAGATACAAAATTTTTCTAACTATCTTCGGTTTAGTATGGTTTACAGGGGCGTAACTAGAACGATAATTGGGGGGGTGAATATTCATATATTCAGTTCTGCCCGACGGATTTCTATTGTAAGCTATTGCAATTACAAAAGGAATTCGTAGGGCAGAACTGGATATATGAATATTCACCCCCCAATTATCCTTCTAGTTACGCCACTGATGGTTTAGTATGTTTTCCTGCATTCCGATTGGTTAAGATTGACTGTCTCTGAAGTGACGTCACTGGCCGGTGAATATTTAACATCTATTTACTCGAGATCTGTCGAATATCGATGGTGAAATGATGAAAAGCTTTTTTTGTCGTTTTCCATTAAGAATTTTCAAGTAATAATATATCTTTTTATGAAATTATGTTGATTATTAGAAGGCAATATTCACTTCGCATTGTGCTCAGTGAAGATAAGTTTGTTATCCCCTCGCCTTTGGCGATTATTTGTTAAATATTACACTTACCAGCATGGCGACATTTTAAGGCTTATAATTATAATCAATGCGATTATCAAACTAAGCACTTGTTTTAATTTAGACTCTCCATGTGCCTACGCGCCATGTTTAAATGGGGGCACTTGCACTAACAAAGGAAGAGATCATTTTGAATGTGAATGTCCTAAAGGTTACAACGGTACCCGGTGCGAAATTGGAGGTAAGGTAATTGGCAGCCTCGTACCAAGGCGCTTTAATAGTAAAAAATGATGTTGCATTCAGTTATTGTATAGAGGTCAGCTCATAAAAACGCGAGAGTGCGGGGGTGCTTGGGGTGGTTTTGACAAATTTAACGCCAGGCAGAAAATGAATTTAACATGTAAACAATCAAATGAATTATATAATATAATGTAATACAATATAATTATATGCTATAATTACGTGAATTATATCCAGGTTTTTACAGATACACCGGTTTTTAAAAATGTTATAGGTTGATTAATATTGAACATTTCATGTTACAAATTATATCCAATAAGTATCACTTATGGAAACAATTTACTTTTAAATTCAAGTTGTTGCCAAATCGCGTTGAATTCATCATCGGATTATTAAACCTGTAAACAAAGGAATATGAGTTTATCTCATATGTTGTAAATGCGCTGGCTTTTCCCAATAGTAATATGTAAATACGGCATGCGATTATTCGAATATAGTCACTCCGACGGAAAATATTTAAATAAAAGTACCGTCAGATGATTCTTCGCCAAAAAATTATAAATAATGAAAATAAAAACTGCAAAATACAAGCGTTTTCCAGAAATCGGTCATGATTTGCCAGAAATCGGTCATTTTCTGCTAGGCGCTTACTCGCTAAACGAAACCACTCCATGTACCCTTGCGTGCTTTCTTTTTTCTGTTGAACTCTATACAATACCCTGATGCAATGTTATATATTTTACTATTAAAGCGCCTGGGTACGAGGCTGAGTATTTAGTATTATGTGTATTTCAGTTTTTACCGAAGCGAAATGCTTTGCATGGAAAGCTCAAATCTGAAATCAACTTTTTAATTAATTTGTTTTAACACAAACTGCAACTACAAACAAATATACGCGTGTAAAAAAATTTACCATCGAATTCAATTCCCCTCTTATCCCGCAATATTCAATTTAATTTGCAAATTTTGGCAAATATTGCGCCACATTTCACGACAAAACAAAAGTTGTTTTTGACTGCAAATTTGACTCAAACACACAAAGCAACACACACACATTAACTGTTGCCGCGTTGTCATACACCGTGAGATTGGTGGAAATGCGGACGCCGTCTCCCCAATCACTTCAGTAAAACACCGCAGAGAGTGGTGTTTATGAAATCTTGACCCCAAAAATAATCACTGGTTCAAAAAAAATTACATTTGATAAGTTAAAAAAGTTCAATTTTTCCATTAATACGCATTCTTCAATCGTCTGCATGGCAGCTGTGAAAGGGCTATTTTGACGCTTAACGTGTAAACAAGGTTATAACGTTATAACGTAACAAAACAAACAGAAATAAGGTAACAAAAACCGCAGTTAACCTACAATCATGTGCAAAAATTATTCACACACGGTCATTACACCATGTATCTCTACGCCCCTCTCCCCGCAAAACAATGTTCCGATGACACCAAGCCATTTGATTTGCCGAAAATATCATTCTTAACATTGTCAATGGGAGAAGGGGAAAATAGTTAATAATTAAACGAAATATGTGACAAATGGTTTTCAAAATGAAAAAAAATGTGTTTAAAATACGCAAAGTCTCCTAATTTTTGCACAAGATTGTAGAGTGTGTTATATTATACAGTCGCGGCAATAGAAGCGTTCCGAAAAATATCGAGTTTGCTTAAATTTACCAGTTGGCTTCATCCAATATTTGAAAAACTTCTTTAAAGGCTCTTAACTTCCGGTCTCGAATTGACCACTCTCTAGTCCTATTGGTTAATGAAATAAGTAGACGCATATGATTGGACAATTCGAAATAGTTGAATAATTTGATGAACCCCGTGAGCTAACTGCCAAATTTGAGCGAATGAATAGCTCGATATTTTTCGGAATGCTTCTATTGCAGCGACTGTTTACAGTTGTCATTAATAACTGTTACCATCAATCATGGGCGCAACTAGAACGATAATTGGTTGGGCGGGGGTTCGGAGGATATTCATTCATACTATATTCAATTTTCTTGACGGATTTCTGTTGTAAGTTATTGCAATTAGAAAAGAAATTCGTCGCCCACAACTCAACATATAGATATTCACCCCCCCCCCCCTAATTATCGGTCTAGTTACGGCACTGCCATCAATTTATAAATTCTAATAATGTGTCGGTCTTGCTTCAGAAACAGGAAGGTGTAGTGCTACAGGTGACCCTCATTACACCACATTTGATGGTGAAACCTACGATTTTATGGGAAACTGTGAATATGTGCTGTCAAAGGACGTGAACAACCATTTCGTTGTTTTAACCAAGAACGAGCGCTGCAACAATTATCGTTTTAGCTGTGTTTATTCCGTTACTGTGAGAGTCCGAAAGTTAAGCATTGAAATAAAAAGAGGAGGCCACATCTTCGTATCAGGAGTTCGTAAATTCGCACCCTACTTGAATAAAGGTAACAACAATCCGTTTGCTTCGAAGGGAAGACGCATGGATACTGTATGCATGACCGTGTATTGTCCTTCTTGGTAACTCTGCATGTCAAGGCATCTAGTTAATTATAACTATAAGAAAATGATCAATAATAACAGATAAAATTTTCTCAAGCGAAATCGAACTTCTGTATCATGAGATTTATAGAATTAACGAAAATTTTGATCTATAAATTACATGTCCTTACATATATATACTAGAAACACATGCTTGCAGCAACCGCAAGCCTTTTCTAACGAAGCAAAAATATTTCCTGGCTTAACCAGACCTAACCCTCTAAGCTTATATCATGAAATGACTTAAATAGCTGATGTTTCATTTTGTTCGGAAACAACTGACACAGTCATATAAAAGGTGAAGTGAAATCACCCATTTTAGTGCTGCAATAGCCAATGCTGCATGCAGTTTATAGATTTGTACAGTTTAAGTGAGAGTTAATACATCTCTATACCTAAAAGCCTAAACCTTCAAAACATCAAAACAGCACAAATAATTTAAATCCCTAAGCACTAAATGTCGAATGTTGTTTATCGATTATTCAATTGCTGCAGATATTGCATGTCGACTCTATAAAAGCTAGTGATATTTGCGGTTACTGTATATCAAAACTACGAATTAGCTACACTTTTACGAACTCGTTTTGAAGGTAAAACGACGATTTAAAACCTTAGGTAGTCCGTTATAGGTCATTGCAAAACGGTATACCATGCATATACTCAAATATCTCAGTCAAAATATGAAATCCATTCTTACAACAATTCGAAGTAAACGAAATAGACCGTCACCTACCTCTTCTAGCATTATAAACTGCGATTCCTACCTTTTCACTACTAGTATTGAATTTTTAATATTTCCGAAGTGTTTGTATCATTTTCTTTGATTTCAAATTTCATATTGTGCTTACGAAACATTTTTTTAAAAAAATAGTTTCTAAAAGGACAGTTATATTTCTTACGTTTTTCGTTGAAATACAAACTTTTTGTCTTTGCCAAGCAACAAGTTGAGGATTACCAGTCTTTACTGGTTCAAATTTTGCGCATGCGTGCAAGTATCGTTACCATTCAGCATTCAATTAAAGTCCATAATATTTTGGACAACTTTGGATTCCGCTATGTTCTCCCGGGTTCTTGGTTTAATTCCTAATCTCCGTGCGGAATTAGTACCCTAGCTCGCACGGTGCTCTACACCGGCTCGGAGGTTAACTTTCGAACAGAGCAACATTATGGTACACTTTTCATATTAATATTTTCATAAATACTGCATCCGGCCCCCGCATACTTTTGCATGCGGATGGCTGTGTTTTTCCAGTTTAGCTTCTTATTGTCTTACGACCATCATTCCGTACTCTTTAGGTGTAGCGATATCGAAGCACGGCACAAGAACTATTGAACTTCGGACCAATTTTGGTCTTACAGTAGAATATGATGGCGTGTATAATGTTTTCGTCATGGTATCTACTCGATTCAAAGGAAAGACGGTGGGACTTTGCGGAAACTTCAATGGTAACGCTAAGGATGACTTCACAGATTCTAACTCCCGACGCAGCAGTAACATCCTTCAATTTGCCGATTCTTGGAAAGTAGACAATAGTTGTCCTAATACCAAACCGCAACCAGACCCATGTGCTCTTGCAAGCTCCTTTGCACAGGAGGCAAAGAAAAAATGCCAGTTACTAAAACAAAAACCATTTGAACAATGCCACAAATCGGCAGAAGAGATTTCACGCTTCATCAAGAATTGTGAATTTGATGTTTGTGCTTGTAATAATCATCCAGCCTCTTGCCTGTGTGAAGTATTTGCTGCATTTGCAACTTCTTGTTCGCAAGGTGGAGTTTCCATCACCTGGAGAAATCTTCCTGAATTTGCGCAGTGCAGTAAGTAGTTTGGTTACAGCAAATCATCCATATCAATATAATTTATGTCGTTTTTAGCTTCATGGTGTTTGAAGAAAGATGGTTCATCCAAATGTATTTGAGACAATCGTTCCGCGATAAAAGTTGAAACTCCGCATTGTTCTACTTAATTAAACTTTCAAATGTGTCGCATGACAGTGTAAACTAGGCCTATATAGGCTATAGGATTTTTTTTTGTTTGATAGGATTTTTTTCAAATTTCGAATTCGTGGTACTGTGGTGAATTAATTAAATATAATCTTTGCCAATTTTCTAATCTATTCTCGCACTTCTACTACTTTAAGGGGCGCCGTGTGCATCTGGTCCATGCAGAAATGGGGCTACATGTACAAATTTCGGCCACGATTATGAATGCAAATGCGCTTCTGGGTACGGTGGAAAACAATGTGAATTAAGAAGTAAGTTTATTGTGTTTATGCTAAATGTAATTATGTATCACTATGATACATTATTGTTTAATTTTTGAACAGAGCTCATTGAAATATTTAGCAAATTATATATATAGGACATGCATAGGGGACATCGTCCTCGGTATTTAAAAGCGTTGAAACTCGTATAGGCGGAAAAAGAAAAGAGATTTAGACTCCAGGTGTACAATGTTGCATTTCTGCTCCACTAATTCAATAAGTGTTACTCCGACAAACAATTAAAGCATTAATTGGTTAACTAACGCTATCAATTTTTAGGATGCGAATATTCTAGAAAATTGGGAATGGAAAGTAAAAAGATCACAGACTTACAAATAACAGCATCTTCAGAAAACAATCACAACAGGCGTGCTTCCAATGCTCGCATAAATGCAGCTAAAACACCTTATGCATGGGAACCAGGGAGGGCAGACCAAAAGCAATGGGTGCAGGTTGATTTCAAATTCCGTGCAACAATTACTGATATTTTGACTCAAGGAGATGTTAGAATCAATAAGTTTGTGCGAAGCTACACTGTTTCGTACTCCAATGATCGTTTCAGATTTAAACCTTACCGAGTGGGTGGGAAAGTTAAGGTATAATATTTTTTATTTGATTGCAATGGCAAGCATGTTAATATTTGTGTTTTTTTTTCCATTTTCACCCCACGCGTACGAGTCACCTGTCAAAACCGTTCCACGCAGATCAATAATTCAACGGTATATTATATCAAAAAGCTCTTCATTTTCCTGTATTTCCAGATATTTCAGGCTAACATTGACCATAGATGCATTGTTAGACGCACACTTAACCCAGTTATCATCGCTCGGTACATCCGAATCCATCCTAAATCATGGTATGGTTATATTACTATGCGACTTGAATTCATGGGCTGCTTCCAAGGTACATGTAATTAGTTTTGTAAAATTATAGCTTGACATTCGACAGTTACATTACCCGTTTTTATTTGAATTCAATAGGCATCGTCAAGTTCGTCAAAACGTTAGTTTTTTTTTTTAAATTTTCACATTGAAATTGAGTTTTCTTGACTTTCAAAAGCCCTTTTTAAGCTAGAGAGAAGGTGTTATACGCCTGTGTCCGAAAGGCTCACTGACACTCATTCTCATTGAGTTCATGTTACATCGAAATTTTGTTGTTTTTGAAAAATTTCCATGAAGGTTCTTTCTTAATGCGTGGAATAATTCAGGGTAAAAAACACACAAACTGTTTTTCGAGTTGCCTTCAATGAATCGTTACGAGGAGATGGAGATGTTAAACTCAATGAACTTGGAGTGTGAGTGACCTTTCAGAATACAGGCGATTATATATCTTCCATGGTCAATTATGCATGGCTTTAGAAAAGAAGTGATACCAAGCTCATAAATATACAAATAAGATGCATCCTTACAGCGATTGGGAAAAAGCAAATAGAAACCTAGCTACGACACTGGCCACTGGATAAGGCATGCATAAAATATCTTACTAGTTCCTTCCGGAGAACTGACTTCAATAGACAATAGTCTTTTCGAACGTTTGCTGTACTTTACAAATATTGAACGCAAATTTTCTAGACCAACCATGTGCAAATGAGCCATGCCAACATGAAGGACAATGTACTAACTCCGAAGGAAAAGCCGTTTGCTCATGTCTCAACGGATATTATGGCGGGAGATGTGGACAAAAAGGTACATAACATAGCATCCATTTAGAAATTTAACGGAAATAAACAAATCAGTACAACATGACTGTTCTCAATTAAAAAGAAAACATTTCCCGAACTATTACCCTGCGTTGAAATACACCATAATAGTCTTGCTTTTTAACTGCTTTTTTTTAATTAGAATGCAAGAAGCCAGCACGTCTTGGTATGGAAAATGGCAAAATATTGGACACGCAAATATCAGCTTCGTCGGAACTTAATAATAGGCGGGCAGCATATGCCAGACTGAACCTCAACGGTCGAGGAAACAAAATTGTTGCCTGGTCTCCAAGAACTACTTCTGGAGAATGGCTCCAAGTGAATTTCGGAGGTCGAGCTATTGTGACTGAGATCTTAACCCAAGGAGCCAGTAATCGCAACTGGTTTGTTAAAAGCTATTTCGTTTCTTACAGCAAAGACGGTGTAGCTTTCACTATCTACCATATTAAAGGGCGTAAAAAGGTAAAAAATTATGAATATCGTTTTAACTTCTTCTTTATATATATATATATATATATATATAAGTATAACTCTTACATAAGTATGAATCTTAGTTTTTTAGAGGAAATACAAATCATCGCATCATTTCTCGTCAAAGCGTTTCTCCTGTCATCGTCACCCAGTACATACGCATCCACCCGATGCGCTATTCAAGTGCCGTTGCTATGAGGGTTGATTTCTCCGGCTGCCTAAAAGGTTCTTAGCTTAACATATAATATTGTGTATGATATATTTGTGAAGAATTGTTTTTCGGTGCCCTGAGAGTGTTTCACGATTTTAAATGTGATAGAATGGCGTGTAGCTTTGTTCTACAATCCGTATTGTAAATATAAAGTATTATAGTAGCTTTTATTGTTTCGTAAGTTATAGTTACATTTTCTAATAGTGTGCATGATGTGGCATTAATGTATTCAGTGGGTGGTTTAGAGCTCCAATTTTATTCTACGAGGATTTTTTTTTATTTTCGAGTAAAATATCCCTATAATGAATTATGACCATATATATAATGTATATTCATAGAGTGGCCATGTCAACCACGACCGTGTCATAATGGTGGCACATGTTTCGATTTCCACGCTGATTACCGCTGTTCTTGTGGCAATGGCTGGGCAGGAAAGAACTGTGATGTTAAAATTGGTAAGAAAACATGTTTTCAGCAATTGCTTTTCTGTGAAATTACATAATTATAAAAACATATACTGTAGATGTTGTCATCATATCCGCAACTCCAGTGGCGTAACTATACAGGGTGTATCAAAAAAAATGTCCCAAATGTAAAATTTCCGTTTTTCAGAATATTTTGCAGAATTTGGCAAATTTTTGTGTTCCTAGAGATAGTTAAGACTTATCTGGTATACCTGGGCCAAGTTTGGTTTTTCATTAACAAAATTATGTTACCGGGGGGGGGGGGTTCCTTTCCACTGATATTGAGAGGGCTTGCGCGCGAAAATGTGAAGCTGAAATTGAGATATCATTTAGCTGTCTAAAAGTAGGAAAGCTTTTTAATAAACTGTCAAAGTTTCAGGAAAAATAATGCAAACTGGGAGCAACACGCGACCCCTAAAACTGACAAATATTTCATTGCGCGCAGTGAATTAAATGCATCGTTGATTTTAGCGTGACCGATCTCATGCAAGGCTTGGCAAATGAATAAATTAAAGCGAGAAACTGAACAAGAAGACGAAGCGATTTAATCACAAGATTTTTATTCTTGATGTTAATCCTCAACATTTCCACCTTTTCTTTCTAAGCAAACTGAGGCTCGTCTGAGCATGGTAAACACTGAACGGCGAACCACATTTTTCTGTCCTGCCTCAAATTATCCATTTCGTTCGAAATTCTTTCTTGCAAATCTCCTACGCTACCACCGGCAAATCTAGGCGAATGGGCAGACAAATGGTTCGCTGTTCAGTGTTTAGTATGCTCAGACAAGCCGCAGTTTGCTTAGAATGAAATGGTGGACATGCTGAGGATTAGCATCACGAATAAATCGCTTTGTTTTTGTTTTTAGTTTCTCGCTTTAATTTATTCATTTGGCCAGCCTTACATGAGATCGGTCACGCTAAAATCAACGATGCATTTAATCCACTGCGCGCAATGAAATATTTGTCACCTTTAGGGGTCGCGCGTTGCTCTCAGTATGCATTATTTTTCCTGAAACTTTGACAGTTTATTAAAAACCTTTCCTACTTTTAGACAGCTAGATAATATCTCAATTTTAGCTTCACATTTTCGCGCGCAAGCCCTCTCAATATCATGGAAAGGAAGCACTCCCCGGTAACATAATTTTGTTAATGAAAAACCAAACTTGGCCTAGGTATACCAAATAAGTCTTAACTATCTCTAGGAACACAAAAATTTGCCAAATTCTGCAAAATATCCTGAAAAACGGAAATTTTACATTTATGACATTTTTTTGATACACCCTGTAGAACGATAATTGGGGGGGTGAATATTCATATATTCAGCTCTGCCCTACGGATTTCTTTTTTAATTGCTATAGCTTACAATAGAAATCAGTCGGGCTGAACTGAATATATGAATATTCACCCCTCCCCAAATTATCGTTCTAGTTACGCCCCTGGGCAACTCTCACCTAACTAAGAAAAACGTAACAGCCTCGTTAAAGTTCACAGAGTTACCATACTTAATGCACACTTGCAGCACTCATTCATGTACATGCAGCATGCACGTCATCTTTAACATATTCAAATTTCATTAATTTTTTGTAGCAAATTGCAAGCCACGCAGATAAGGAAAGTGCCATATTTCAAGGAAGCATTAAAAGTATACACAATAGAGCAATAATACATATACTAGCAGAAAAATAGTTGAATAGTTGAATATTTTGTTTAGATCAGACTTGTAAGCAACTTATTCAATAAAATACCAGTTGTAGTCAGTGATATCTCGTACGGATTGATTGTGTATAGAATATTCTATTCTTATAAGTTGGCATAGTTGCCATAGGCTTAGAGTATGTGGGTCTAAGGGGCGCATCAGCCCTTGGAGGAGAAATCTTACTGGCGGGCTCAGCCCCTCTAGAAATTTTCCAGAAGGTAGTAATTGCATATATATTTATTATTATGCATTACTAATGCAATCTCGATTGTGATTGTCTAAAAACCTCTAGATAACTCAAATTTCGGCTTAATAATTCTCGATATCACACTCAAGGTCATCCTATAAAAAAATCGGATTTCGCTGTGTATATTAATTTTTTGCATTTTGAGTGGACATGCGATGTTTTTCACGTGTTAAAAAATGCCATACACGGCCTTGGATTGGACGTACGATATTCTTCACACGTGAAAAATCGCCGTATGTCATTTTTGCGGCAATTTGTTTAGTAAAAATTTGAACACACTAGGTGATAAAATGCGAGTTAAAGTGTTTTAGTTTGAGAACATTCAATCAATTCCAAACAGTTTTGACATTCAATCTATTCCACTCCAATCTATTCCAAACAATCTATTCCAAACAGTTTTATTCGTCGACCGCCATTCGACACAATCAATGTCGACCGCCATTCGACACAATCAATGTCGATATATATATATATATATATATATATATATATATATATATATATAGATATATAGATAGATACCCGAAATCTAATTAGAATTGCATATGTTGTGTAATATGATTGAAATCCCATGCAAATGTATTCATATGCAATTCTAATTAAACTTCGAGTATCTATCTATCTATCTATCTGTGGCCAACGTTTTTGCAAATGGTGTATATATATATATATATATATATATATATATATATATATATATATATATAACTATATATATATATATATAATTATATATATATATATATATATATATATATATACACCCATTTGCAAAAACGTTGGCCGCAGATAGATAGATAGATAGATAGATACTCGAAATCTAAATAGAATTGCATATGTTGTGTAATATGATTGAAATCCCATGCAAATGCAATCATATGCAATTCTAATAAGACTTCGAGTATCTATATATATATATATATATATATATATATATATATATATATATATATATATATATATATATATATATATAATAAGAATTTAATATATATATAGATATATATATATCATAAGAATTTAATTAAACCAATTATAATTTCGCCAAAGTTACAACACGCGAGTTCTCCTTAATATCTATTGGACTAAACCTTATCATGCCAGAAAAAGTGATCAAACTTCATCATAACGACAACGCCAAAAAGCTGTCGCAACTGGCAATACTACAGCCTTTAAATTTCATCGTAGTAAGGTAAACAGAATGAGGAAGAGATGTCGTAGGAACTATTACACTTGTAAATTCAGCCATCTTAAACATACTAACCCGAAAGAATGGTGGAAAATAAAAAAGTTAAAGGCATTTGTGGAATGACGTCATCTTCAAGTGGTGTCGCAGTTGCAAATTGATAATCTTGACCAGATGCCGGCTCCAACTGATATTGCAAATATAATTAATAATAGCTTTCTGGATCCAATGAAAGAATATAATCCTCTCAATGACCTTGATTTACAAAAATTGATATATGCCGCGGATAATATCTCACATGCTGACATGAGGAAGACCACGCTGGAATTAGTATGAAGTAAATTAAAATCATTGAACAGCGGCAAAGCCCCTGGGCCAGATGGTATAGCGAACTGAATGCTTCTTATAACGAGCAAAAACTGCCAGTAGCCTGGAAGAGAGCAAATATCACCTCCATTCCTAAAGAGAAGCCAGTTACTGACATAACCAAACATCTTAGGCCAATATCATTAACTTTTACCCTATCCAAACTTGCCGAAGACTTCGTTGTCGAAAATTTATTGCGCCAGCTATCTTGAGCATTGTTGATCCACAGCAATTCGGAGGGATCCCTCGGCCCTCAGCCACTCTAGCACTTATCAACACGGTTCATGAATGGAATAAGGCTACGGACGGTACAGGGGATGCAGTTCGAGTAGTTTTGCTTGATTACCGAAAAGCATTTGATCTTATTGATCACCAAATTCTTGCACAAAAAGTGTTTCAACTTTATATTCCACTCCCAGCAAAGAAATGGATTATTCACTTTCTGATGAATAAAGATCAAAGGGTAAATTGTCACGTGACTGTTTCTCGGAGTGGGTCGGGGTCCCGTCTGGAGTTCCCCAAGGAACTAAACTCGGACGTTGGTTGTGAACCCTAAATTCATCGCATTGTCTTATATCATACCACAACCCGGTTTTGAAGTTATTTATTTTAGTAGAAGCGTATAATTATATACCTTAACTATACATAACTATGCATTTCAGTTTTACTTATCACGAGAATGCAAATCGAAGTTTCATATTTTTGGATATCAAATCTAATAATTTCAAAACACATTTCTGTTGCACACATGCAGTAGGCATTTTATGCACTCGCACAGTTTCAATGATTATTAATACTACAAAAAAACCCACAGTCTCAATAATTATTAATATTACAAAAAAAGTGCTTCAAAGAAACATTAAAACAGTACAAAAGGACTGAATCAATGCTGTCGGCTATAAAAGTTTAGAATAACTGAAGTAACATTCGTTTAGTTCATCACAATTCAGATTTACACATTAAATTAATAATAATATATAGAATTTTTAGAACACCTACTGCAATTTCATTTGGGTGTGATTTGAGCATTTATCTTAAAGCTCATGCAGTTAAGTCCCTGACGTTCTCGTTTGAACTACAAATTTTTGTCTTAGGTAATCAGATGGTTGCTAGTAAACAGTCTTCATGCACTCGTCCGAGTTTTGCGCAAACGTACAACATTATCATCATGGTTTTACCATCCAATGACCAGGAGGACAAAATGTGGCATTGTTCCGTAATAATCGGCCGGGGTACTACTCCAGATCTTCGGCGGAATCAGTCCCCGCGCACAACCTCCTGCATTGTTCAATAACGAAAAACCAATAACAAAATTATATTTGGAGCGTTCAATAAAAACTAACGACTTTTTTTACCTATAACCTAAAACGTCTTCAGAGTTTATTGGCAAATATCTCTAAAGGACGGATTATTTATATTATTTACATTTATTGTTTGAGAAAGCGTCCTTATTTCTAAATTTTAATTTCTAAACTTAAACCATTTCTTAAGATGCAAGGTACATTCAGTTCCTCTTTCTAACTATAATTCTATCCATGCTCGCCTCAAAAATAATATCTTAACTTGTAGATGTTTGTGATTTATTCATATAATAATTTTATGTTTGTCAGTTGCACTAGAGATATCTTTAGCTTCTTTATTAAATGTTCGAAATATAATTTACTTGACTGTTTTAGTGTTTTACGTACATTATGCTGTGGAATGGTAATTATGTAACTGAAGACTAGAAAAAATTCTCAGGTAGCGTTAACGAAAACGAAACCGGCGATAAGAATATTTGACTTTGCAAGGCGGAAAGCCAGCGTAAACTTCCGAACAAAAACAGTTCCTGTTTTGTTCAACAAAAACCGATGAGGCAACACGTTTCATTGAATAAATCCACAACTCAAAAATGTTCTAAAACTAAATCCACATAATTTATTTTAAGTAAGAGAAAGCTGACCAACAACTGATTAGTTTAATTTACAGGGAATGAGTTGGTTATTTCAATTCATATGTAGTTAATAACTTAGCGGGGTATTTTATAATTTCCGCGTAACTCTTTGATTTGGCATTGTATTTTGTTTAATACGCGCCAAACACTTTTATTATAATTCGGACAGTTTTATGTCATGTTGTATCCTAGTAAAGCCACAAAGTGTTAAATAGATTGATAGCCAGTCAGTCGGCAATGAAATTTCATTTCGATTTTCACTATTTCTTATGGTATGCTTTTTGGGTGATTTTATACCGTAAGAAACTGTAAAGTATATAAGGTAACCCTACAAGTCTCAAAATAACACCGTTGGTCTTAATTTTTTATTGGGGCGAGCCTGAGTGAGTCCAACGCCTTATTTTCAGTATTTTGAGGCGAATAATTAAATTCTGGAACAAAATTTTGAGAGCTATGGACCCAGCCTGCCAAAATGTGCCATCCTTGTTTATTTATCAATACTGACATCGTAACATATTCAAACGTGGTTGCTTTTGGAAACTTTAAAATTGATTAAAATTGCATCGCGTTGTGCGTGTGTGATCCTTAAGTCTCTGACAAAATGACTATGAGTATTGGCCTTATTGTAAAGTACTAAAGTACTGGACAATGTGACTAGGAGGAGGTGCATATTCATATACTTCATACACGCAATTTATACACTAGAACTTTGAAAGTTTTATGACCCACGCATAATTTAAACAGCTGTTAACAAGGATTGCCAAAGAGGGAACTTCCTAACTGTAGAAAGTATAAAAACTACGGAATTGTGTGAAATATATTAGCATAGAATAGATGTATGTTTGAAGGCCTGCATTAATTATTTGGATCCGGAAGCAAAAAATAAGGCCTAGGTTATATGTCGCATTTTCGTCACGATAATGAGATGATAAACCTCATTAAGCTTCATTATTATCTCATTATCTATTGTTTGAATTGCTAGATTTAGGCCCACTATGTGATGCATGATTAATTCCTTCCTTTTGAAACCAATTGTCCATTTGTCATTCCAGTAGCAAAATGAGTAATATATGAATTTGTCCCCCCTAATTATTGATCCTACAATGTGTCTCGAAAAAAAACGAAAACTATTGAAATCATTCATTGTTAAAATTTGAATGCCGTGTTCACGAATTTTAGCCCGTGGGGATTTAATGCAACTTATAAAATTTCAAATTGTGAATATGATTAAGTTT